TTGTGCCAATCAAGAGTATCGATTTGGTTTGTTTAGAAGTTCGAGCATAGCTACACGAGGGCTTTGAGCTAGCCGTCCCTAATTTAGCAGTAAAAGACTAGAGGAAAGGCAACTAGTCATCACCACCCACCGCCAACTCTTTTACCAACATTATAACATCCCCTCGGCTCAAAGGCGAGCATGTTTGGTGGGACGGAGGATTCAAACCCACATATTGCGAGAGTCGAACGCCCTAACCACCTGCCCATGCTAGGCCGCGAGTATCGAAATCCAATTTTTTTGTTATAAAACCTTAAGACTTACCGTTGAACCACCAGAAGGAAAGCTGAAATGACGAGCATGTTCGATCATTGCATTCGAGCACGTGATCCACATATTATGAGTGGAGCGCCACCACATTCCTATTGTAACAAACGTATACCAACAGCTATAATTTGGTGATACTTATTGACTATTAACAGAAATTCGTGATTTTAAGTCATTTTATTTTGGGAAATTTAGTAACTTAATCTGTATATAATAGCTTATTTCAGAATTATTTTCTCCTTTTACAAATTTTATCTTTAAAAAATGCTATGGAACTTCAAAAATATTTTTAGGCTAAAGAGAGCAGCTAATATGTTTTATTTTAAAAACTAAATAGCTATTTTCTAAAGTTAAAAAAAGAGGAATTTTGAGATTAATGGTTTGATATAAATCCTGTTAATTTAACAACTTTATTACTGTATTGTATTACCCCAGTTCAAATCCAAGTAAAAACAGGTCATTTGTAATTTCTAGTGAAATATACGTTGAAGAGTTTTGTGAAATAAAGGTTGTTTCAATTATACTTTTACCCTACAGATTTTTTCCTTTTCATACAAGGTTCATATAACTCACGGACTTTCATTTTACACACAAATTGAGCACTTGTGTAGCCTGGCTCTCTACATTGTTGTACAATATGTTCAAACAGTACATATGTAACATAAAACAAAACAAACAGTAATATAGGATTTGAAAACTTTATGTAGTTGTGGTTGAACAAACATAAAATATCATATTGCCTGTTTCTTTATGAAAAAGTGTTTATGTTAGTCCATTATTTTACTCAAAATTCTTCTCTAAACTTCATCTGCTAGTGTTTAGCTCCTTTAGCGTGATTCTTGAGCGCAATCTATCTCCCCCAAAGGTTCAGCAGAAGTCTGATGGGAACCCTAAACATCGGGTTTCGATAAATGCAGTGGATATAGCACAGATGACTCGCATAAACTTTCCCACATTTCTAACGTCAAAGCTTTTGGAACTATATTTACATTTAATTAATGACTGCGCCACAACTCATTAAAAATACGCATTTTAAGCACACTTGTTAAAGGTTGAGAAGTCAAGTTTTTTTTTTTCATTCAAGTGGAAAGGTTCTTTGTACAACTGTTCAGTAAGATCTGGTGCAAGGATTCATGTTACAGTTTCATGTGCTTTCAGTGATCCCAAAGTACCACAGTGCTTACTGACATGTATTAGCTTTGTGCAAACAGTCAGCAGCAGCACTCATTTAATATATCCTGAGGATAAAACTCGTGCTTCGCTTACGAAACATTTTGTTTGTTTGTGGTATTTTGTATCGGAATGTACAGTTTATCAAATTTAAGGGCAATGCTGTGTATTTACGGTAACTAAAACATTTAAGTGACCTGCTTAGACTACTCACGTATGATGTTAGGAACACACAGTTAAGAACTATTCTGATGGCCGTGCGGAGCGTCACGACGATTGCGAGGTTAAACCTATTCAACAAAGGTGGTACCTACTAAGTACCTTTAGTACGAAAGACACTGAGCCGAATAGTCTGATCAAAAATGACAAACTGATCGAATTATCTAGTAATATACATCAGTTCTAGCAACACTTTCAAAACCTGAATATTGGAGGTAAGTATCAAAAATCAACAGGGTGATGGTACCGGTACTCTAATTGTCTATAAACAAATGAAGAAATTCACACACAAAACTTTAAACACATAAACACTGTCTACCTGAGATAGGGCTTGAAGGGATGACTGATCCATTCCCCAAATACTCTTCCATTTGCAGTTCTTAGTAGTATCCAAACCCGCCCATCCCTTACACATGTGGTGATGTTGTCCATACTTCCCTATTTTTAATTTTAGTTTTGCATAGTTTAATTAATTAAGTTTAAAAACCTTACCACGCACATATATACGTCACTCTTTTAATTATATAGATTAGCCGGTTTACACATACACTTACAACATTTTGAACTGAGATAACAAAAAGGAATGTTCATTTAATATTTTTTTAAATAATTATTGAAACGTTCCAAGTTTTCAGAATCTTTCACGCCAGGAAATTACGAAGTTTAAATTCCATAACATGTAAGAAACCTATACATTATTTATAAACTAGATAACCAAAAGCTCGTCTACCTTGTTACACGGTATATCAGTTGCCACGGGTATAAAAACCCGATATTTCGCGTCGTAAGCCAGTAGTCTTACCGCTGAGCCACTGGGAGTCAGTACTGTTAAATATCTGATGAGAATCCTAAACATCATGCCAACTAGGAAAAGTTTTGTCGAATCTTAGGTTAATCTGATCATTGAGCAATTAGTTAAGAATTACTTGTAAACTAAGTGTACGATCAGCAATTCTTTAAGAATTACTTGTAAACTAAGCGTACAATCAGCAATTCTTTAAGAATTACTTTTAAACTTAGTGTACAATCAGCAATTATTTAAGAATTACTTTTAAACTTAGTGTACAATCAGCAATTCTTTAAGAATTACTTTTAAACTAAGTGTACAATCAGCAATTCTTTAAGAATTACTTTTAAACTTAGTGTACAATCAGCAATTCTTTAAGAATTACTTTTAAACTTAGTGTACAATCAGCAATTATTTAAGAATTACTTTTAAACTTAGTGTACAATCAGCAATTATTTAAGAATTACTTTTAAACTAAGTGTACAATCAGCAATTATTTAAGAATTACTTTTAAACTAAGCATACAATCAGCAATTATTTAAGAATTACTTGTAAACTAAGT